TTAGTTTTAGATATACAGCATAGACAACTATATAACTTATAAGGGAATCCCCTATAATTCAATATTGTAATACCATTATTACAATATTACTGACTATAATATATTCCCTATTTTCTACTTTAAATCCCTATTTTGTAACTGCTAATTTGACTTAATCCTTTCACCATTTTTCCTCAGCTCCCCTCCCTCTTTCATTTGACTTCCAAAATTTGTTCTTTGTATCTATGAGTTTGTTTCAGTTTTGTTTATTTATTTTATTTTTATATCCCCTCCATATTTAAGCCCTCCAATGACTTTTTTTCTTTATTTTTAAAAAATATACAAAATAAATCTATTACCAGATTGTAGATACAAAATAATTAGCCATTTACATGCAATAAACATTATTTCAAAAAAAAAGATTTGAAATGTTACATGCAATAAACATTAATATTTCAAGAAAAGCGATTTAAGATTAATGTTACATGCAAGAGACATTAATATTTCAAGAAAAATGATTTTAAATATAATAATGTTACATGGAATAAACATTAATATCTCAAGAAAATACTTTAAATATATTACCCAAACTGTACTAACATAGTATATTAGTAATATCACAAAAGTTGTAGGAAATAATAAAAACCTGCAAATAACAGGATTACTTCTATTATATTCTAAAACTAGAGGCCCATGAAATTCATGCACAGGGGGCAAGGAGAGTGTGTCCTTCAGCCCAGTTTGCACCCTCTCCAATCTGGGACCCCTTGAGGGATCGGGCCTAAACAAGGAATCAGACATCCCTTTCACAATCCAGACTGCTGGCTCCCAACTGCTCGCCTGTCCCTAACCGCTTCTGCCTGCCTGCCGGCCTGATCAACCCCTAACCACTCTCCTGCCAGCCTGATCAATGCCTAACTGTTCCCCTGCTGGCCCTATTGCCTCTAACAGTCCTCCCTGGCCATCATGGTCACTCCTAACTGTCCTCCCCTGCAGGTCTGGTTGCCCCTAACTGCCCTCCCCTAACTGCCCTCTCTTGCCAGCTTGGTTGCTCCTAACTGCCTTCCCCTGCCAGCCTGATCACCCCCTAACCACTTTCCTGCCAGACTGATAGATGCCTAATTGCTCCCCTGATGGCCCTATTTCCCCAAACTGCTCCCGCACCCCTGCTGGTCTGTCACCCCCAACTGCCCTCCCCTGCTGGCACAGTCACCCTAACTTCCCTCTATTGTCAGCCTCCCCTGCAGGCCTGGTCACTTCTAATTTCCCTCCCCTGCTGGTCTGGTCCCCCCCTAACTGCCCTCCCCTGCAGACCTGATCCCCCCCTCCCCCCCCCCCCCCCCGCCCCAACTGCCCTTTCCTGCAGACCTGGTCCCTCCCAACTGCCTTCCCCTGCAGACCTGGTCCCCCCAAACTGCCCTCCCCTGCAGGCCTGGCCACCCCTGACTTCCCTTCCCTGCTGGCCTGGTCTCTCCCAACTGCCCTCCCCTTCTGGTCATCTTGTGTCCACATGGGGGCAGCCATCTTGTGTGTTGGAGTGATTGTCAATTTGCATATTACCTCTTTAGTATATAGGATAGTATTTTCCTCTGGCTTTAAAAAAAAATAAATCTTTATTGTTCAGATTATTAAAATGTGTTCCTTTTTCCCCCTACCCCCCCAATTGCTCCCCTCCACCAGGTTCCCACCCCACCCGTCCTTTCCCCATCCCCCACTGTCCTCATCCATAGGTGCACAGTTTATGTTCAGTCTCTTCCCGCACTCCCACACCCCATTTCTCCGAGAATCGTCAGTCCACTCCCCTTCCATACCTCTGATTCTATTATATTCACCAGTTAATGTTGTTCATCAAATTTTTTAATTCCCTTGGTTTTTAGTTTCACTTGTTGACAGTTACGTATTTGTTGTTCATAATTTTTATCTTTATATTCTTCCTCTTCCTAAAGAACCCCCTTCAGCAATTCATATAATTCTGGTTTGGCAGTGATGAACTCCTTTAGCTTTTTTTTTTTAATTTGTGAAGCTCTTTATCTGGCCTTCAATTCTGAGTGATAGCTTTGCTGGATAGAGTATTTTTGGCTGCAGGTTCTTGCTATTCATCACCTTGAATATTTCTTGCCATTCCCATCTGGTCTGCATGGTTTCTGTTGAGAAATCAGCTGACAATCATATGGGTGCTCCTTTATAGGTAACTACCTGCTTTTCTCTTGCTGCTTTTAATATTCTCTGTCTTTTGCTCTTGGGATTTTAATTATGATAGGTCTTGGTGTGGTCCTCTTTGGATTCCTTTTGTTTGGGGTTCTGAGCGCTTCCTGGACTTGTAAGTCTAATTCTTTCCCCAGGTGGGGAAAGTTTTCTGTCACTATTTCTTCCAGTATTCTTTTGGTATCTTGCTCTCTCTCTTCTTCTGGGATCCCCATAATTCTGATGTTGGTTCACTTGAAAATGTCCTAGAGGTTTCTTACACTATCTTCATCTTTCTGGATTCTCTTATCTTCTTGCTTCTGCAGAGGAGTGTCCTCTTGCTCTTTATGTTCTAAATCTTTGTCTTGATTCTTGTGGTCTTACAGTCTGTTTTTAGGATTCTGTGTAATATTTTTTATTTCAGACAATGTTTTCTTTGTTTCTAGTTGATCCCTTTTTATTTCTAGTTGATCCCTTTTCATATCCTCATATGTCTCATTTATTTTATCAGCCTTTTTTAGGATATTCTTGAATAGCCTTATAATTGTAGTTTTGAACTCAATGTCCATTCTTTTCTTTTCCTCTATCTCCTTCCTTTGTGTCCTGCCTCTTGTATGCATTTTAGTGGTTTCCCTGATTTGATGGAATAGTTTTGTGTGCTAGGTGTTCTGCTAGAGTCCAGTAGCACAGCCTTCTCAGTTACCTGAGGTGGACAGTCTTGGTGTAGCCCTTTGTGGGCTGTGTGTACAGTCTTGTTGTTAAGCCTTGCTTATTGTTGGTATCACTGGAAAGTGTTGATCTCCAAGCCAATTGGCTGTGGGGATCAGCAGTGTCTCAGCTAGGAGGGCTTCTGTACTCCACTTGCATGAGGCGGAATCTCAGGGTGGTGCAGACAATCTTTGGTTCCCTGTCAGTCTCGCCTTAGAAAAGTCTTGTGTTGAGTCTTGCAAGATTGGTTGCAGGCGCACTCACCTCTTTGGTAAAGGTGCAGACAAGCTTTGGATTCCGGCAAGTCCCTCCTTAGAGAAAGCCAGCCTCTGGGAGAGCTTCTGTGCTCAGCTTGGATGGGATGGAGTCTCGGGTTGGTGCAAAAAAGCTTTGTTTTCCCGCCGGCTCCTCCCCAAGTCCCACAGTAATGGCCACTGGCTTCACATACCTCCGAGAGATCTCTGCCCGCTGCCTGACAGTCTGGCCTCTCCCTGACTGGGGCTGTCTATCAGAGCAACAGGGTTATTGTTTTCTTCTTCTTCTTTTTTTTTTTTTTTAAATCAATCTTTATTGTTCATATTATTACAAAGGTTCCTCATTTCTTCCCCCCTCCACCAGGTTCCCACCCCACCCTCTGCCCCCTCCCCATCCCCCATTGTCCTCATCCATAGGTGCAGTTTATGTTCAGTCTCTTCTTCCCTCCTTTTCCCCAATATTGTTTTCTTCTTGAACAAGAAAGCCGCGCGTTAGCTGTCCACCCTCTCCACGCACCAGGAATAAGCCAGCGCCTTTTCGCGCGTTCTCCTTACCTTCACAGTTTCTGAGGGTCAGCGTGCCTTCTCTCTCTTTCCCAGATGGCAGAGCTTCCTCTCAGCTAGCCGTCTGGTGCTTCAGGGCAATGCCTCTCCTGTTTTCCAGTTCTAAATTCAAATTTGTTGTGGTAGGCTGCATTCGGGTGTCTACCCTATGCTGCCATCTTGGTTTCTCTCTTTCTCTGGCTTCTATTTTTGTTCATCAGTTTATGTTCAAATGAGTGCGATCATGTGATAACTTCTCTTTCTTAATGGGCTTATTTTGCTTAGCATAATGCTCTACAGGTCCATCCATGCTGTTGCAAACGGTAGGAGTTCCTTCCTTTTTACAGCAACGTAGTATTCCGTTGTGTAGATGTACTCCAGTTTTCTAATTCACTCATCTGCTGATGGGCACTTACACTGTTTCCAAATCTTAGCTATTGTAAATTCTCATCAATACACGGAAACATGGCTTGCAGGTTGCTTCGGCTGCAGCAGCTTCCAACAAAGGCAGAACTTTCATTGATGCCTCTTGGGGGACCAGAAGAGGTCCAATCCTTTCTCCCCAAATTCCTGTCTGATGATTTGCAGCCCCGGCAAAGGGTGGACGCCTTTGGGTGTTGGTCTAGCTCGTGGTCGGTTCTGAATGCAAATAGGAAGCCACTAACTGCCACCCCACCCCTGCCCGCCTGTCACTCCCCAACTGCCCTCCCCTGCAGGCCTGGTTGCCCCCAACTGCCCTCCCCTGCTGGCAGTGTCCGTGGCCAAGGCCTTGGTCTAAGTGTCCAGGGAGGTGAGACTCCCAGCTTAGTTCCCGGCCAATCTGCACAGCCAGATAAAATTCTGGCCCTGGGGTGCGCCGAGCGGCCCAAAGACAACCACCAAAGCTAGGGAAGACCAGGAAACCTGCGGCCACCCCTTGGAAAGGCCTGGAGGCTTCAGCTACCGCCTTCAGAAGGGATCGCACCTACCCTGAGAGATTAAAACCACCTCCGCCATTCCGAGGAGCACCGGCCCAGACGCTAAGGGCGCCTGCGCGCCCCCGGTCCCGCCTCCCGGCCGCCAGGCCCGCTGATTGGGCGGAAGGAGCGCGCCCGCTCGTTCTGCTCCGGCTGGAAACGCGTGCCGGCGCAGTGGCGTTCCGCGGGCGGAAAGGCAGGGCCGGCGGGAAGGCTGCGCGCGGCCCGCCCCTCCCACCCGCCTCGGCCCTGCAGGGGCTGGATGGGCGAGTTGGGCTCGATGGCTCGAGCCCGGGCGGCGGCGGCGGCCGGAGGCGGCGGCGCGTCCTGCTCCTCGCCGCGGCGCCGGCGGTGATCGGAGCGAGCGCGGCCCCCGATGAGACTGCTGGCGGGCTGGCTGCTCCTGAGCCTGGCGGCCGTGTGGCTGGCGCGGAGGATGTGGACGCTGCGGAGCCCGCTCTCCCGCTCGCTGTACGGGAACATGACGAGCGGTCCGGGCGGGCCGGCGGCGCCTGCGGGCGGCGGGAAGGAGAACCACCAGGTAGGGCGGCGGGGCGGGGGCGTGGCGGCCGGCCCCCGCGCGCTCGCGGCCATTGTGCGGGGCGGCGGTTGGGCCTCCGAAAGTTTCCCCGCCCGGCCTCGGCCGCGGCCCCGGGCGCCTTTGTTGCCGGCCGGGCTGCGGAGGCCCCCGGTGTCCCCGCCGAGGCCCGGGCGTGGGCGCCCCGGCCTCCCCGGCCCCGCATTGTCCCGCGCGGCGGCGGCCGGGCCCGAGGTGGGACCGGGCCGAGCCCGTGGCGCGCTGCCGCCTCGGCCCCTCTTTTTGTCTGGCGGGGGCTCGGCGCATACAAAGGGCCGGAGCGTGTAACCGTGTGTCGCCAGCCGCTTAGCCATCCGGGGTGGGCTTGTCCGGTGACATTTGCCTGAAGCACTTAAAAATGGGTCTGGCCGGCCTCGCTCCCCCCCGCCCCCCCCCCCCCCCCTCGTCCTCCCCTCCGCCCAGCGACGTGTCCTCCGAACTTTGATGTTGGCGCGTGTCCGGCCGGATGGGAGGACGGAGGGTGCCAGCGCGTTCTGGCGGGTGTGAAACCAGGCCGGGCCCGAGTAATCCTGAGAGTTGTGGATGCAGAGGGGCCGGCCGGTCCTCTTCATTAGCTTCGTTTTGTGCCACTTTCCGAAGTCTGTGCAGGTCAGCGTAGAGTTCAGGGTGAGATGTTCCCTCTGTGACCGTAATGCCACTCACAGTTTGCATTCATAGAAAACGGGCTTTTGAGCTCTGCCAGATTGTTGGCCTGGATAGCTAGCATTTATAGTACAGTTTGCCATTCCGGAAAGCAGAAACTATTATTCCCCATTTTATGTCACATCGTTTTCATAGATTTCTCATTTTCTTCTATTGTTTTCTTATTATGCCGGGAGTTCAGCGAGTTTACACTCAGGTCGATTTCATGCATTTTAATGAAAGTAAAGAATTATCTAAGGAGGTAAAACAATTCATTTAGAAAAATAGCATTTAATTCTTAATTAGCAAATAGTTATAGTGGTCCTTTTTCTACTTTTAAAAGAAATATATTTTCATATTTTTTGGGGAGGGTAATCCCACAGAGATTGCAATTTGTTAAGTAATAACTCCTATGATATTGTTAGGAGTGAACACGAAGCTAATAGGTGACCTTAAGTTGTAAAGCCACATTCTCTACTGTGAATTAATTACTCACATAGCTAGTCATTTTTAGATAACTCTGGTGTACTGTAGTGATTATGTAAACTTACCAAAATGTCACATCTCCATCTGGAATACAGACAGTGGTGTAAAATGATGAATTAGAAAAGCAGCTGGTGGAAATGCTGCTCTGGAGAGGGCAGGCAGGCAGCTATTTCCGATGCCGCTTAGGGTGAGTGAGTCTCTCAGTTGCAGGTGTTTGCTCTAACAGTTGGCCTGTGACCTCTCCGGCAGCTTGCTTGATGCCTTCAATGCTCATAAAATTGGAGGGATTTTAAAAAACAACTGTTTCAGTTCTTTGATTTTTATGGAATCTGGGTACAATTGTAGCCAAAGATATAGCCTCAGAATAGAGCCTTTTTTAGTGGTGTACTTTTAAAAAGTTTTTAAAATTTTTATTGTTGACAGTATTATAAATGTTCCCCATTTTTTCCCTTTTGCCCCCCTCTACCCGGCCCTGGCCCCTCCCCAGTCCTCCACTGCATTTTTATTATCTGTGTCCACGGGCTATACATACAAGTTTTTTGGTTAATTTCTTTCTGTCCCCACTTCCACCCCCCACCCCTCTGAGACCTGTCAGTCTGTTCCAGGTATCCATGTCTCTGCACCTGTTTTGTCTGTCAGTTTATTTTGTTCATTAGATTCCACACGTAGGTGAGGTAGATCATGTGGTATTTGCCTTTCTCTGGCTTATTTCCCTCAGCTTACTATTCCCCAGGCCCCCCCTGCTGTCTAATGAGTCAGCGTCTAAGAAAAATGAATATTGGTTTCAGATACTTCATTTACTTCATTATGCTTCGAAGATGCTCACGTATGCATGTGTTTTGGTGTGTGTATGAGTGTGCATGCGTATTTGTGTGCATGTGTGTGTGTTTGTTTTAATCAGATCCACTAACAGTTTGGCAGCTAATTTCTCCAAGGTGAAGACTTGATTTCGTGCCTTCTGTATACTTAGGGGGAGCTAAGCTCTTTTCCTTAGAATAATCAGTCTTGACATTATTTTGAAATTATACAGCTACATTATGAAAATGTCCATGAAAAAGGTTAAAATGAGCACAAGAAATGTAGGTATAGAAACCACATAACTGTAAACTTACTCCCTGTCCCCCAACCCCCCCATATTCCGGGATCTTGGATTTACTTTATAAATGGTGTTGCTTGTGAAGTAATTTAACTCTAGTGTTTTTTACCCTCTTCAAATTAATAGTTTTACATCAGGTCTTCCAGTGTTCATTTGTGTGTGTGGGTTCCATAGCCAGTCACCTCTGATTATTTTGGAGTTGCAGGAAAGCAGAGTTATGGATTATGGTTACTTAATAAAAGTAACCGTTTTCCTAACGGTTACTTTTATTAAGAAATTAAAATGGAGGATTCTATGGATAAAAGAATCCTCTTCCACTTGGGCAATCTTTAGTCATTAGCAATTGCTGTTTAGTTATGAGAGCTAGGGATGCCAGGCTCCTTGGAGCCACAATCTGAAACTACAGCAGCAGTGCCATTTTAGTAACTTGGTTTGGTGTGCTTGCTTCAAAACTGTGATTATGTTTTGCTTTGGGCAATTGAGAAGCAAGGACTGACTTACCTCAGAGCAAGGCTGTGGCTTGTGGGCCAGAGTACGCTCATTTATTTTTGTGTGAAGCAAATTAGATTTTTAAGTGGTTGCAAAAAAGACAATGTAACATGAAATTGTAACATGAAAATTTCTTATGAAATTTAAATTTCAGTGTCCATAAATAAGGTTTTGTTAGACCAGAGCAACCATATTTATTTACCTGTTGTCTGCGAGTGCTTGCCGTCTGCAACAGCAGAATAGTAATTGCTGCTTTGTGACCTGCAAGCCTAAAATATGTATTATACTATTTGGTCCTTTACCAAAAAAAGAGTTTTCCCAGAGAAAAACTTCAGCATCCTTAATCAGAACTTTTTTTTTTTTTTTTTTTAAATATATTTTACTTATTTTTACAGAGAGGAATTGAGAGGGATAGAGAGTTAGAAACATCAATGAGAGAGAAACATCGATCAACTGCCTCCTGCACACCCTCCACTTGGGATGTGCCCACAACCAAGGTACATGCCCTTGACCGGAATCGAACCCGGGACCTTTCAGTCCGCAGGCCGATGCTCTACCCACTGAGTCAAATCGGTTTATCAGAACATTCTTAATTACAGGTTGCAAGGCAGATAGACTGGGGAAAAACTAGTTATATCGCTTTTCTGTATTGGCAGACTTGGGACTTTAAAAGCAAATGACAACAGAAACTTTGGATCTAGTCTTTTCTATGTATTGCATCTAGTACTTTAAGTTTATGAACGTATTATAGACCTGTTGAAACTTGAAAGGACCCTTATGCCCCACCAACTAGGTTCCTGGAAATAACAGTCAATCAATAGCATATATATTTCAGAGAAGAAGGGAGAGGGAGAGAGAAAGAAACATCAATGGTGAGAAAGAATTATTGATTGGCTGCCTCCTGCATGCCCCTCATGGGAGATCAAGCCTGAAACCTAGGCATGTGCCCTGGACCAGAATCCAGCCTGGGACCTTGGTCTGCAGGCTGACGCTCTATCCGTGGAGCCAAACCAGCTAGGGCTGGATAGTTTCTTAACTGATGGAGTGAAAAGAGAATTACTATCGAACTCCCCAGAGCCAAAGCCAAGAGAATTCTCCAGATGACATGCTGTATGTTTTTTTTACAAGCACAGACAACATTCAATATCTGAATTATTAAGGTATAACCTAAAATTGCAAGTGCATGTGTGTTTGACTTTATGTTTTCACATAATATAAGCTTAGAACCGTGCTATGCAGGTGATGATGGATTCAAGATAGAATTGATATGATTTGGGGGTTTTTCCTAAATGGAAAAATACTTGGACATCACAGCCAGGGGTCAGAGGTTGTGCTAAAGGACAGATTCGGAAACCTAGCTCTCCATTTACCTGTGGAGGTGGACTGAAGTCAGGCATGAGTTAATGCTCAGGGCAGTCAGCCAGCTAGCCAGACAGACCCCTGTCCTCTGTGCTGCCTTCAAGAGCCTGGAGGCCTTTGCAGCTGGACACCAAAGAGACTTTGAAAAGGGGTTATTTCCTTCCCAATAACCTGCGCTGAAACCCTAAACAAATGTTTGCTCTGATTTCCTGGAACACTGGGATTTCTCTCCTGCTGGATATACCAGAGGCCATAAAGGGCATATAAAATGTCCGGAGACCTTCAAAGCCAGCTCTGGAGGCACTGCCCTGAAAACACCGGCTCAAGGTTGTGGGTTAAACAAGAATGGCAGCTTCTAGCAAAAGACTGTTCTTTAGAGCCTCTGAAGCTTTGTTCACATCTGAGGATGTGATGGTGGAGTTGGGTTTTGAACTGGAGAATTGGTCGGTGACATTATTATAAAATACTAACACTAACTATCTGAAAGGAATAATTGACGATTGTTTATGAAAGCAAAATCTAATCGGTGTAAATTGTTCCCCTCATGAATGTGTGGGGGTCTTGGGTTGGTTTGTACCATTAGTAGAAAAATAGTGAACGTTTAACTGTTTATGCCTGTGCTGTGTTTATTTTATTATGGTTTTATTGAGAGAGGAAGGGAGAGAGAGAGAAACATAATTCTGAGAGAAAAACGCCTATCAGTTGTCCCCTGTACACACCCCACCAGGGCACTGAACTCCAAACCTGGGCATGTACTTCGTTGGGGAATTGAACCAGTGACCTCTTGGTGCACAGGACAATGCCCAGCCAACTGAGCCACACCAGCCGAGGGCTGCCTGTGCTGAGTTTAGATGCACAAAGGTGTCAATGATGAGATGTGTGCACTGGTTTG